GATATGAATAATAAATTGTATAACACTTGATTCATTTTGATACATTGAACATCGTATGATCAACGTGGGGTGCGTTCCATTTAACGTACATAATGCTTGCAAGCATCATTTCATTTTTGTTGTTTATCAAATGTTGAACAAAAATGAAATTATGCATGCGGGCGTATGTTGGGAACGTTAAATCGATTGCGTTCGCAATAGAGGTTTGTTTTTTTCTCTTTTAAGGTGATAGATATATGGTGAATGAATAAAAAACGGACAATGTATACAAATATATTTTCTATTTAGATCTTTACGTCATAGTAAATGCAAATGGAATGATTATTAGAATTTGATTCACTTGCAATTCGACTTAAAACAGTACAATGTCTTGAATATAATCCAAAGAGTCTTAAATAAAATTTTCATTTTCACTATTTGTTCGTTGTTTATTCACTCACGTATAGTCGATTTAAGTAATTGCGTGTACATGGATGGATTATAATACTGCACAGCCATCCGTGTACACAAAATTATATGAATTTTACATGTCAATTGAATATTTACTGCCTCGTTGTAATATTGTTTAAATCAGACAATCTCGTTATGTTACATATTCTCAAGAGATTTTTTTACAGTTCATCGTGCTAAATTACAGTTAGGGCGAGAAATAGGAAGGGTTTGTTTCTCAAGCCACTTAAGTGCTTGAATGTTCTCCGGTCCTTGTAGCAAAGGTTTTAAAACTTCCAAACATTTTACATGATAATTATTCAAATATTCGATCTGGAATAAGATATGAAACATAATTGAAATATTTTTAAATAAAATGAGAAATATTTGAGAATGCGCATACCTCTTTGTCAGTAAGCATTGATACATCAAGTAGACTCGTTTGAATAGGGACAAGTGTCATGGTTTCAAATGTCAGAAAACCTCGGTTTTTATGATTATAAGGTGTCTTTGCAGGAACAACTAACTCAACATTCTCTAATCTGACACCAAACTTACCATCTTCATAATATCCTGGCTCTGTTTTGAAAATATGTTTTTTTTTTATTGTTTCGATTACGTAAACGATTACGTTTTATTTATGTATATATTCGTACCATTTGATAAGAACATTCCTGGTTGTAAACCTGGGTCATCCGGATGCGGCTTCCATGAGATACCAATCGGCTCTTCATGGACATTGAGATAAGATCCTACTCCGTGGCCAGTACCGTGAAGATAATCGAGACTAAAGTTAATTCATAGTTAGATATAAAAAGAGTTGAATTTTTTCGCATAAAATATGTTTTCTCATCACAATTTAATAAAAATCTTTGTACCCAACGCCCCATAAACTTTCACGCGCCAGTGTATCGAGGTAATTTCCTTTTGTTTTCAAGGGGAATACCATTGTCGATAGCCGGCATTGTCCTTTAAAAACTCTGGTGAAACATTCACGCTCGAAACTTGTGGGTTCACCGAAATGTAATGTTCTCGTTACATCTGTCGTACCATCATGATACTGTGCACCAGAATCACAGAGATAAAGTTCTTTATCTGTAATAGGCACATCAGTCTCTGCCGTAGGTGCATAATGAATAACTGCTCCATGAGGACCGACAGACGATATAGTGGTAAAGCTTAATCCAACAAAATGAGCTTGTTCCCTTAGAAAAAAATTAATTTCTTGTATCCACATTATCTATATTTTACATTGTAAAAAATGAGTTGCTTTATAAAATATACATAATCGACTTACTGTCTAAACTGTTCTAGTCGCGTCGCACCTGAAATTTCCGTAATCAATTCGTTCGTATTCTTGATCTTATCTTCTAGCCAAGCAAAATATTTTACAAGAGCGACAGAATCTCTCACATGTGCCGCTCTCATCCCAACTATTTCGATAGCATTCTTTATTGATTTCATAACGCTAATAGGTGTAATATCCGTATATTTTTGAATAGTCGCAACATCTGGGTGTAGCGCAAAGCTGGATTTATTGCTGATCCACATTTTATCTTTTTCGAATGAACACGACTGTACGAGTGACTTCATATAAATATGTATATCCTCATAAGCGTGAAAGATTGGATCAACAGCCTCGTTCTTCAATTGTTCCAATGCTTCCTGGCTAAGCCTACTTCTATCTATAAAGATATGTACATCTTTCAGTGTGAGAATGACATATGCAAGGAAGACAGGATTGAAAGGTATATCAGATCCTCTCCAATTTAATAGATACGCAATTGCATCCAATGCAGTCACTACAAGTATTGTCGTGCCATTCTCTCGCATAGCATCGCGACACGCTTTTACTTTGTCCCCTGCACTTCGACCCGAATATCGTAACAATTGCGGCAAAACTATGTTGGCTGTTGGTGCTGGCTGATCGTCACCCCATACTTTATCCACCAAGTTCTCAGAAAGTGGGATCAAATCGTGACCGGCATCGATTAAACTGTTCTGCAATCGTGTCCATTCCGTGAAACTTATTAGATTAGCGTCTGCTCCGACTACGGATTTTGATGGTAAATTCGCGGCGAGCCACGCGGTGATGGTAGGTGTATCCAGTAAACCTTCCTTCATCAGAGTCCATGCCTCTGGCGGATCTAACTCCGTCATAGCTTGTTGGTAATATCTTCCATCAGTCCACAGCAATGCTGCGTCGTGCAATATGACTACCGTGCCGTAGGAACCACGGAATCCGCTGATAAAACATCGCCTCTGATCTCGCTCAGTCGAATATTCTGATTGATGTGCATCCTCTCCAGTAACGATCAGAGCTTGGATACCTTTTTTTCGAATGAGAGACCATCCACTAGGTTGAACATTCTTCATCAGCGCTCGAAGCTGCGTCAGCTTCCAAAGCCCGTCCTTTTTTACCATCTTGTGCCACAAAGAATATTTTGTTACTTCTGAGTCCAATTTCATTCATACAACACAGTTCTCCAAAGGATGTCCTAAAGCCATCCTAAAGATTTTCTACGTCCTAAGGACATCTCATGGAGAACTGTGTTATATCTCTAGTGATATCTCAGATAATGCATACATACATGTCTAAAAGATGTCATACAGATATCTTTTGGAACATACATATCAAATGTTTCTATCAATGTAGATGAACTTTAATCTTGGTTTAACTCACTTTTATCTTTTTCTAATTCTAAGAATTAGAAAAAGATAAAGAATAAGTTAAACCGAAATTAAAATTAATGTACATTGATACAAATGTCTGTTTCTACCAATGTAGTTTAATTTTAAATCAATTAATCTTGAATCAACTAACTCTTCAGCTTTTTCTAGTTCTAAAAATTAGAAAAAGATGATTAGCAAATTGAATCGATATTAAAGTTAATCTACATTAGTAGAATAACAAGTATAAAGTCCAATTCCATCAATATAAGATCAACTTCAATCTCAGTTTAACTTATTGTTTATCTTAGACTTAGAAGAAGATAAAGAATAAACTGAATCAAAATTAAAGTTAATCTTATATTGGTGCAACCAAGTTTAAAAAATACCTAAAAGACATCATAAGGATGTTTTCTAGACACTGTTGTCTGATATACCAACAAAATAAAACGACCAGAACAATCGTAAAAAGTTTGTTCCTTACCTTGTGAAATATTGTTCAAACACTAGCGTCACTCTATCGACGCATCTGTCACAATGGAAAGTAATAAGAATCCCTGTTATTTTCCAGAGAGAACCAAAAGCGAAATTACGGGTGCCACGTTATCTATTAATATCGCAAACACTCGACTTGTGTTATCCTTTTAAAAGATCAAACTATCTTATCTTTATGATAAGAAAAAGTGATCGCGCATCGTACGCTTATAATAAGTCCTTATCTTCTCGGATACAAACGCGTGGAAGATGTTCTTTCAGAGAGAGGTGCTCTGCTACACGGTCAACAACATGTATCCAGCTCCCAGAGCATCATACATATGTAATTCAGTGGCATGTGGTATTTCGACCGAGATTTCGATTTCGATACCTCGCGTCGTCTACCCCCAATCACGCGATATATCGAAGTAGGAAAGGGGGAACATCGACATAATGCAACCAATCAGCATGCACTACGTCATCTTTCAAAATTTCATGTCATCCATGCCACATTCTGCCCAATCGTTTCAGTTTCGTTTGTTTTCTATATTGATTACAGTGATTCTGACCAACCGACAGCTGGAAAATTTTATTCTCTTAGCGGTTTAGAAACTTGTTGTGGTCAAGTGTCTTTGAGGAAGATACAGAAGTGACAGCCGTGGATCGTGGACCTAAGATACAAATGAAATTAAAGCGTTGACAAAATTTTTGTAGGTTAAAAATCTGTTTTATCTACTGAACAAACAGCAGCAATATATACGAATTGCGCGCGATATTGCAATGTAATCGATACGTTCTGCATCCATTTGATTGGATAATTATTTATATGAACAAATTTGTCACGAAGCTTTTCAAAATAATGTAACAAACTGCAAGGTTAGAGATTATTTGTTCGCACAATGATATAAATTATTCAAGAATTCTCCGTTAATTCTATTTCATCATACAGATTTCTAATCTTAAAGTGTAATCTTATACTGGTATTTGTAGTCCAATTTTATATTTAAGATCGCTTAAATACGATCTTTAGATTTTAATGAATTATTTTGTTGACTAAAAGCAGAAATTTTAAACCACTTGAGATCAGATTCAATTAAATGATCTTAAATATAGAATTGAAGTACTAGAATTGAATACTCACAGTATAATCTCTTTTAAAAGTCGCTTTTAATTTCACTATTCTTTTTACAGAATCAAGTGGCTACATTGATTGTTCAGACTTTCTTTTTTTTATAAACGCAAAACATTGAGCAAGTGCAGATTCAGTGAAAGTTGAGAAGTGACATCACATGTTTATGCATATTAATAAAAAAAATGGATATCTAAAATTTACTCACAGGGCAATCCTGTAGAGATGTAAAAAATTTGTTTTTGGCGTTTTGAAATTAATCCTCATTAATCCTCGAACAATATATTGCATCATATCCTGTATCATGATGCGTCAAAGACGGCAGCAGGGCCTGCAGAATGGTATATTTTTGTTGGGTATGCAGGCTCTGAACTTCGGACTTGATAAAATACCACCTGCTACTCTAATTGGAATCATTGCACAGGTAATCTTTATCAAAAATTTGATATAATTTTGTTTTAACAATCTGGCTTCGCTCTATTTTGAGTCAATCTCTTTAGAATTAACACAGTTTACTCACTTTGATAAACTTGAATTAATCTTTCTAATCGATTGCTATATAGTCTTTAGCTTTACAAGCTTTTACGAGCGTCATCCATAAAGTATAAATATATTTTTCTTTTTCTAGACTTTACTGTATATGGGCCTGATACAGGTGCCATGGAACGCAGAAGATGTATGCATATCGGCTATCAAAATAATTAAGTACAAAAATTGGCGGTCGTTCTTCCTTTCAAATTTCGAACATGGATCCGACATGCATCTGTACTACAACATGCTTTCTTTTATTCTGAAAGGTTCTTACTTGGAGCCCATCTATGGAATGATGAATTTTATACTTTTACTGGGTGTATTATCTATCGGATGCAGCGCTATGTATGTATTCCTAGGATACATTCTGATGCAGTTAACAGGGGATTATGGATATTTCACGGCTTGTGCTATCGGTTTTTCTGCCATATTATTTGCATTGAAAGTCATTGCGCTGTGCGAAGAACGCGACAAATTACACAATATCAATGGATTAATAGTACCAAGTAAACTAGCAGTTTGGCTCGAGTTAATATTGATACATCTATTGGTCCCAAATTCTTCCTTTATCGGTCATCTGGGTGGTATTTTAGTTGGATGCTTATATTCTTATTCTTTTGTTGGAGAAAGGATCGACAATTTGATACATATGATAACTGGTACACCTATTATACACGAAGAACAATTTTATAGAAGGCGAAACAGGCTATTTACGTAACATTTTATAATTTTTATCAATTCACCATATTTGCGGCTCTAATCTAACCTAATAAATGTATATATACATTAAATCGAATTATATAAAAAAATTATACAAATAATTTGATGGAATACAACTAGAGATGAGAGTTTATTTGTAAGGCTTCTGTGATCCTGAATAATAATTTATAATATATTAATATATTGCTAATTATAAGTATTTTTATAAATAAATAATGATCATTTTTGTAATTATGGTTTATTTAAAATAAAATCTAAATGCATATATTTGTATAGTTTTTCTTATTAGCGCCACGAAATTCAAACCCTAAAGTATTAACATTTCATCCCGTATGATGTACATGAGTTATTTCTCAATTTATCTTTTTTAATTGTTGATTTATTTATAAGATTTTTAAGATATATTTATTTGATTTTTACTTTATGTAAGTATTGTCATGCAAATTTATAAATTTTATTAAACGTTAAATGCAACAACAAAAATTACAGATTATTTCATGTTACCACATACTGTAGAATAATGTTTTTATCTAATCCAATTCTTTAATAATTTATAATTAATTATAATGTTTTTAGTTTGCAATGTAAGTAAAAACATCATGATGATTTTAATGAAAAGAAAAACTAATAAGATATTCAATCACATTTTTAATATTTTATTATACATATATTATATAAAGATTTTACCTTCAACTTGTTTGTAAAATTTTGTGCAATTTATACAGTGTAATATTCGGTATGCTAGAAGAACTCTGCGCCATCGTGATTGAATTCACTAAAAATAAATATGGAAAGTGAATGATATTCTTATCAAGTACGAAAAACATTTACATGTTTGTGGACACTTACAGATTGATTTATCGATTGGATATGGTATACCATAGAATATAAAATATGCACACATTTTAGCTAGAGATGTAGTATCAGAGAATTGTACTTTTCCAGTTGTAAGATATTCTTTAAACACAGATTTTATATCTAAAAAGAAAAAAGTTAAATATAACAAAATTAACAATAAACTATTGGCATTTTTGTAATGTGCCATGCTTTAATAAATACCGTGCTCCCATTTATCCAGAATAATCGACGTTTTCTGTTTAATTGCGAGCATACTTTCTATGCTGAGTAATGGATTTCCATCATCCGTGAAGTTGCTTTTCCTCGACATTTGTGACAAAAGAAGCTTTATTTGCCATATCGCAAAGCTATTTGGTTGTTCCTCAATGATTTTTATACTTTTAATTATATGCAACCATAACGGTATAAGACTTACTTTATCTTTTGTAATGCATTCGTACACAATTATTGCAAACATGTGAAGGAAATACTGTTCAAATTCTGGCATTTTGTATTGTACATCTGTAAATTTAAAGTTGTATTATTCGATGAAAAAGTTATTTTGTGAAACCTACAAGCGAGAGAAATAAGAGAGCTAACATAGAAAAAGGAGATGTATTAATATAGATGAGAACTACTTGAAAAGAAGTCATATATGATTCTCTTAATTTGTAAATTAAATAGTCGTAAATATAATCTCATGCCTTTTCATATAAAAAAAATCTCGTATAATTTAAAAAAAAATTATATAAAATATATTATAGATCTCTACTAATCTTGAGTTAAGTGTATATTAAAAGCGTATATTAATCAAATCATACCATTTTGCGACAAATACTTAATACTTTCTGGACGAATCATTCCTTTTTTTGACCATTGCAAAAAAGACGTCACTACATTCAATACAGTTTTATCATTTGTAAATGATGTAACATATTCTGGTCGCGCAGCCCATGCGATTGCATTTTCCGTCGTTAGAGTTTGGGCCACTAAGCTTCTGAAACCCTATAATAAATTGAAATAAAATACTCGTCAATGACATTTGCAAAGATGTCTATAATACGTTTAATATATATATATATATAACTAAATGAATAATCTTTAAGCTATTTCTTAAAGTAATAATAATGTTTTACATGAGGATCTTCTAAGTACGATAAACAACCAGCTCTCTGCTTGATGCTTAAGAAATCATGTCTTTCCAGCATGTTTTCTAATTGCTGCCAGTTGTGATGTTTCAAAAATGTAATTTTCCAATATCTCGAATCTTTTAATTCTATCTTCTTCAAGCTACATAACTGTGGTAATAAACAGGGCGCTTGTAAACTGATCTCTTGTCCTTCAGCTTCTTTGTCAGTTTCGAACGTTAAATATATTGTCGCGTAACAATACTGACCAGTATCTATGTCTCTTGGTAAGATAATACGTGGTTCAGCTGCTAATACGTATAAATGACGTAAAGCTTGTAAATGATACCTATTAAAATAATAACACTGCTTAGATACAAAAGATTTTAGAGTATTATCATCTAAAAAGTGTGAAAAGAAAGCTTATTTAAAGCTTTTTTATTGTGATAAAAATAGTTTTCATTCACAATTTTTTTTTTTTTTAAGAATTAAAGCATTATACAGTATTCACAAACCTATTGTCATTGCTATGGGTTGGAAACTTTGGGAAAAGCGAAATTATCAGAGCCGCCACTGAATTCGGGCTGTTAGAAAGTGTATATCTTCCACCACCCAAAAAAAGGAGACCGAGAGCCATGTGGGTTGCCAAATGAGATCCATATGTGACTACACCGCTGGTGAGTCCTACGCGAGTGCGTATGTGTCTGCATATCCTCATAATCTGCAAATTTAGATACAGATTGTCAATAAGTGCTCCTTGAGTGCTCATTGTTAGCAAATATCAAGACTTACATCTAAATTACCAGTACCCGCCATCACCACTGCAGTTGAAAGTAGAACAACGTTTAGACACGTTTCAACGGTGGATTTGCCAGCCAATTCGGCTATAGTTTTGTGTGACAATGCCGTAAACATCTGAGCGTAATTATACAAAGTCTTGAAAGCGTTCTTATTAGCAGTGCCTGCATACCTCAATCCTAGTGCCATGCAAGCACCAGCTATAATGTTGCAGTAGGCCTGACTATAAATTATAACGATAAAGCATAAATTTGTATATCAGATAAAAATGAATAGAGATTAAAAAATGCTTTTTTTTTTTGAGAAGATACTATTACTTACTTGATAGTTTCCAAATCCACATTTTGCGTAACTTCCGGCGTAGGTTTCTGCAATCTATATTTATAAACGATATTCGGCACATGACTAGAAACCCATGTCTTGGTTGGCTCGATATCATCCCACAAAATCAATGACTTGGCGAGCACTCTTAATAGCAGAAAATCTGGCCTTACAAATTCCAATAAATATTGTGTATCAGGTGGTTGCATCCATTCTGCTACCGCACGATTTCTGGTATTGAAATACATTAATCCTAAAGCTATCGTTGCTCCCGGGCTTGTTACGTCGATATTTATCGAATCACCTTCACGTATCTGATAACTGCAAACAAAGAAACAATTTATAAATTGAGAAAAATTGTACTTTGATTCTATTTCAATAAAAAAATGTGCAGAAATTTATAGAATTTTTTATGGGAAAGGTTTTAAATTTATTTTAATTTTACATTTTCCTAAGCAAATTTTTTAAATTTAAATTATTTAAAGAATTGTATGAATTTTTTAATTATAAAAATTTAATATATAAATTTCATTGTACCTAGGAGACTTGTATTTATCTTTTTGTGCCCCAGAAAATGGTCTTATGTGTCCACCAACCATATAATAATGTAAAGTGTCAGGTATACTCGCAGGTACATCCGTTCCACCACCAGAGCCAAGTATGACTAGACCTAATGCTAATCCTGCTGCCAAGGAATACGATTCGCGATCTACACAATTCTTCATTTCAGGTCCTGGCGGCCTACCTATAAAAATAAATCTATATATTAGCATTCATATTAGCAATATTACATATTATACAGATAATTACCAATTTCAGATAATAAAGCATGCGAGATATGTCTATGTGCAGTTCCTTGATACACAAGGCCAACTCCCATTAACGCCGCTACTTGGACATTTTGTTGTACATTTAATTCGATACTCGTCGGTGGTAAAAGTGTTTCCACGTGCAATGATAACAATTTAGTCATAGATACATTCATCGTGCCACGATGTGTTGCCGATAAGCCCAGTAAAAGTCCAACACTAGTAGCTTCATGACAATCGGCTAGATATTCATATGTACTTAAGGGAGCTAAGTTTTTCAGATGTCCGTTTAAACCAAGAGCCATCAAAAATCCCGAATGTTCTACACCGTATTCACCCTGTTGCTGTTTATTATACACTATCCATGTCGAGTCGATATTCGCAGCATCCGGATGAATGCATAGGCCTGCAGCTACTCCATTATGAAAAAGCGGCCACAGGTTCATATTTGGAGGAACATCTATGTGAGTTAACTCGACAGTAGTTCCACGGGGTGGTGCCTTGCCTAATGAAAACGTATAAAAGAATTAATTAATCAATTAAAAGAATAAATTCAAATCGTGATATGCAATCATACCGGTTAAACATAATCGTGGAATAGGTAATTGTTCTGTTATCATCGGGGTGGAAGTTCTCAATGTAAACATGCCTCTAGCTACAGGTAATGCCATTGTTCTCGTGCATAATGTGAGCAAGTGTCTTTCCTGCTCTTCTATGAATTCGTGATCGCTTACATTTGATCTTTGAACTATTGCTATCCTCATTGGTTTCGAGGAATTAAGTAACCTTCGTACCTCAGCAATTCTATGATCTTTACTAAATCGTAGTTTCAATATCTATTGAATGAAATAGAGTTCAAATTATAACTATTGTAAAAAATATATATCTATATATTTAATATAGAGATAGATAAATGCAGAAAATAACAATCATTTACCATATCATCAAATTCCATGCCATCATCTTGTTCATCCTTTATTCCGTAATCTCTCGGTTCACTATCAACATACTGCAATCTCGAAGATGGTTTTAAATGTTTATCTAACACGGCTAGATCTTGGCGATCTATGAGTTCGTATGCGTGCATAGGCCAATTCGACGGTGGACTTTCTCTACATCTATGCATAACATCTTTTATCATCAAAGATACCGCAGGTGGCAATGTTTCGAGATCTTCTTTTCTCATATCTAGGATCAAAATATTATTTTTTATCTTTGGAAAAGGGATAATTTTCATAATACTTAATTGTTTGCTGCATTGTTTGCTTACCCATTTCGTGATATAATAATATTATTCTGTCCGTTGTTGGTTTCTCCAATTTCTTCAGTATCTCTTTGTCAAATTTGCTTCCGATTTCTTGAAAATCGATACGATTTCCAGCAGGTACAATTATTTTGATATATTTCTCCATTTCTAATATATCAATACGATTTTCATTTGCTATAAGAGCTGTTAGATATATTATATTTCTTGTTCTTGGATTAACGTAACTTAAATACGGAAATGCAATCATGTCCATTCCACTTAACATACTGTTTAACGTTTCAAATATATTTGGTGGTTTTCGAGGTATGTAACTTGGAATTGTTATTTTCTGTAAATCTGAGTCATTAATTTGAGATTTCATGTTTTTTAGAGAAGCCAACGAAGGTGAATCAAGATAGTAATGATGAGCATACATTTCAAATTTCAAATCTATGCTTAATTGATACAATAGCTGTCCAAGCAATGGCAAATTTTCCGATATAATGCTGTTTAATTTTAATTCTTCGTATAATAAATGAAGAGAAAATAAAATAAGTGGAAAATGTGGAAATAAGATAGCTTGTACATTTATTTTGCCAACGTTACTTGATTCTATAGCATTAAGAGACGTAATAAAACAGGGTACTATCTGACCCTTTAATACATTCGACATAAAAGTTCGAGAATTTTCATATTCGTTTGCATTTAACATATACACCCAATCACCAGTCGATCCACAATTGCTAGTTTTCTGCTTTTTGGGTAACATCATCTGTAAACTGGGTAATTCTGTACATTGATCTTTTTCGTTATTTCGTATCACATCCAGTTTTTCCACATCATATCCCAATAATGTAAACAGAACTATAAGAAAGAGATCCCACTCTTGCGCCGGTGAAAAGTCTTGTGGGCCTGGGGCATTTCTAGCACCATACCATTTAACCAACAATTGCATCGCTAAATCTCTTTGGAGAACATTTCGTAGTATATGTAAACATTTAGTAACTGTAAAAAATATGTAACTTGAGTTAACTTAATATTGAGTTAATATATAATACATGTGTGAGAATAATTGATTTCAATTATTTGCAATTATTATTAATAAATTTATTTATTCATATACTAATGTTTTTCAGATTTAATATACTTACCTAAAGGCGATGTACTGGCAACAGGTATTGCTACACGAAAATATTGCTTGTTTCCGCACTCTACGGTTATCTCATTACCTACAGTTTCTTTCAAAGCGAGAAAACTCGTGTCTAGTAATGAATTTTCCAAAAGTATTGGCGGACGAGCACAATTACCACCTACAGGACTCAATAAGTGTAAAGCTTCTTCAAATTTAATTTCGTGCGAGGCTGTACAACTCTGAGAAATCAAAGAACTCCGTCTCGGAAATGGAGATCCGAGCTTAGGATTACTATTTGATAAAAAATAATTACTGCCCGTAAAATTTGAAAGCATGCCGGATATATGCAATTTACCCACGCATGTAACTCCTGTATATAACGTTATACCGTTTGACATATCTACAATTGCTATCATGTGCAAATTCTGGAAGAAACCAATTTGTTATTATTATCAAGTTACATTAATCAATACACATTTTGCATTTCAAATAATTTTGTGTTTTCCTTATTTTAAATGTGCAGATAAATAATATATACTAACCGATAAATTAATAGCATCTTTAGCCACGATGTTCGTTACCATTCCGAAAATAATCTGTTGTTGTTTGTTAGTCTTTTCTAATCTCATTAAAGACAGTTGCGAACGATTCGGAATTAAATAGCCCAAGTAATTCTGTCCAACAAGATCCGATGTTAAAAACACCTTAGATGCACGACCACAAGTATCTCTAAAAAAATTAAAATAAAATTTTCCAAATTCTTCATTATTTAACAAATATTTTTAAATGTCTCCTTAAAGCTTGGTGCAAACCGAGACAATAACGTATAATGCGGATTACTTACTTGGATACACCAACATTCTCTGTCCATACATGTTCAAGACAGATCTCAGGATACAAAGGTTTGCTTGCAGTTGGAATATCTTTTAATCGGATGCTATTGTAACTGGGAGCTGGACTATATGTTTGATTTGAGCCAGTTATCATGACAGTTTGATGTAATCTGCTATGGTAAATATTTGAGTTTACAGGTGGTCCAAGCAGAGGGGACATAGCTACCGATTGCGTAGGTGATTGACAACGAGAAATGGTAGCCATCGAGCTTTGTGAACGTGAATGCTGTTGTTGAGGTGACGGTCCACCTGAATTAGTACTATAAGAGGTAGTACGCGATCCAAATGGAGTATTAGGCAATCCTAAACCAGAGTTATTTATTTGTAAACTTGACACGCCTGCAACAAATACATTCCATTTATTTACATCAATTTTTCCTATCATTTACTTTGATTACTTTTTATCAAATTGTATAATTATAATTATTGTATAATTGTATTATTATATAATTATTATTTAGCTTAATAAACGTCTCTCTTTTCATTATGATATATTAATTAACTAAATTTTAATTTTTTTATGTACATGCATATATATATTTTCGCAAAAGTATGTGGATATTTCTTTACCAAAAAGAAAGGGACTTAGAGGACCCTTATTGGTGAAACTTTTATTAGCAGATAAATTGCTGCCAACATTTAATGGTGACATCATTGAATGATTGAATAAACTCATCGTGTCGTTACTTCCACAAACTATTTGGCATTCTTCGGCTGACGCTTTGCGAATTTTGTAAACCGAATGTAAACCTGTCTTTGTATCGTATATCATAGCAAAGGATGGCTCTGAGTTAGTAAATATAATCTGCTGATTTGAATCGTTCATGTACGACACAGACCCTAAAATATTTAGTTTAATTGTATAAGCGATAAAAATTAATTGAAACATTTCGCATAAATCACGCAAATGCACAAGATATTTTTTACAATACATGTTATTATTCGTATTTAATTCTATAAATAAACTATTTTATATACCATGTTTAATAAGTAGAGGACAAATTTCATCTAACGGATGCATTAATGAAAAGGCCACTGGTAAATTATTATCATGTTGTGTTGGTAATCTGCTGCTTTCAAATGATACATATCTGAAAATAAAATGCATGAACGTAAACACATTGTAATTTCAAACTTTGTATCAATTATCAATAAAACATAAAAATGTAGAGAATATAAATTATTAAGTTTTGTTTAATTTTTAAATAAATTATATATACCTCGAATCCATAATTGGCACTTGAGATTTTTCAAGTATAATCCCATATTTTGTCGGCCATACGGCTGAGACCTGTTATCATCAATTGATGTATTTAAAATTATATGGAAAGTTAATATAAATTTTTATAATTTATTTATAATAATTGTAATAATTTTTTTGTAAATGGCTTCTAGTTTCAAGGAACAACAATAATTATTTTTATAAATGCTAATTAGCTTTGTCTTTAATAAGTGTTAAAATAAAATAAAATTCATTATCATAATAAAATTAAATCTTTTTGATATTCGCTCTCATATTTTAAGCATTTTATTTTATGATTCGCTCAAAAATTACAATGCAAAAAAATACAATGTCATCACATGCATCTTCACTCTCGGCTACATATTTTATCCTTACAGAAAAAAAAAAAGACGTGCATTACCTGAAATTGTAAAGCAGAAACGTAATCTTCGCCATTTTCTGTAAAAACCTTGAGAGTATAGGAGTCAAGCAAGCAAATACATTCTATAGATTTATCAATCGAATCATTAGCTTCAGATTCTTTACTTTTGGTCAAGTGATCTGGGGTACTAGTGTGAAAGGTACACCAAAGTGCATGCTTAATATCAGTTTCACATGTATAGGTTGCTTTGAGCACTCGAGTAGTTTGATTGCCTTTACAATGAACTGCTACTTTGCCCGAATAATATAATTCTTCTTCCCCGCATATTTTATTACTGCGTACCAACCATGTCTCTTTCTAGAAATAAGATATTTATCATTAAATATCATTTTGAAAAGACTTTGCATGGAGAAAAATAAATTGCGAGAGAACGGATGTCGTCAGAAGACACGAGTTATCTTCATATTAGATTTAATTTTCTATTACATTAGCAAAATAATTTTCAAATTAATATGTATATAATGTATATGTAATCAGAAACATATTTTGAAGCAGATAACATTGTTAATTATAAACATAAATTTCCAAACCCGTTCTCTCTTCTTTACTACATAGTTATTCATTTTGAAATCTTACAGGAGACTTTTCTGATATATTTACTTCGCTAAATCTTTTTAATAGAACATTTTCTCCACCAACCGTTCGAGTATTAGACTGCTGACTGATCAGGGATCCAGGATGCTTTAAGATTATCTCCCGACCACCTGGCTTATATTCCTTAAAGAAATATTAAGCTTTTATATTATCAGTTATTTCATATAATCTTTATTGAGTTTTCATAGCAGATGATTATTGAGCCTCTTCATTTTACATTAAATAGTGTAACTGTTATTCATGTTGTAAATCAGATATAAGAATAGTTATTTATTCAACATTATATTCTAAAAGGTTAACTCTATACAGGCAAATCGCTAACAAGTCAAACAAAGAGCAAAATAAAGATAAAATATTACTTGAGTTGAAAAAGATATAAATCAGAGACATGATTCGGGGACATTTTGATCTTTTATCTACATTAACAAAATAAGGAGTCAGATCTGAAATGAGAGACAATAATCATGTGCCTCTGTATTATGCCACGATATTTCCTTGAAATAAAATGCTGTTTGTATCCATTATTAACTACAGGTTTCTGATTGTTATTTACTTAGTATAGGAAAAATAAATAAATAATTGTAACAAATCTATTTTACCACCGGTTCTGAGGCGGCGATCATCCTCTCCCTGGTCTCATCCAGATTTGCTGGCTGTGTTTACAGATATCGCGAGGGAACAATACCCACTAAACTTTGGTCTCTTCCTATATAGCGTCGCGTACGAACGATAGAAGGAAACGTAACGAAAATACTCGAAAAACACTGAAAAAATCATACACAAACGTGAACCACACCATCTTTAAACAATACCGCTTCGGGTATCCGTGTCAGCATGCATATGTATGTATGTACATATTTCTGCGAGGCTGCGTTCGGAAAACACAATAGTTGGATTAGCATCTGAAACGACAATTCGCCAAACGCAACTAATGAACGCTACGCTTGTCAAAAAAATGTATTCTTTCTTGAAAACTAAAATACAATCTTTAATTAATGTCTATATTTTTATATTAAATATTTAAATTATTCACAATTTATAATTTATATTATTCCTTTTTTTTTCCTTTTTAAAAATTTCAATTAAAATAAAAACCTATTTATATTTTTTTCGATTTATTATATGTTCTAAATAATGATTATCGGTTCACAAATTTCTATAGACTTATATATAAGTATTATAATTTTTTATTTTTAATTTATAACCTTAAATTGTTTTGAATAATCAAATATCTAAAATATCGATCTCTTCGAAAAATTGATAGAATTTTAAATCTTAAATAAATCTTTTATCTTTTAAATTTTAAATAAAAATAAAAATACATCAATAATTAAAAGTTACATAATCAATATTCATATCACACAAATAGGTTTCTCTCTGTTCATATTAAAAAAATGAGGATTGTGTGAACTGAAAATCAGAATTCAACCAGTCAAGATGAAAAAGACTAATGTTAACGGTGTTCGATTGGTCGAAATTTATTTTCCAACTTGCAATCACTTGCAATCTTTTATACATATACATCTAATACGAGCTTGACAAAAGGTTTTTGTTCTTGTACTTTCTGAACAGGTGCACATGGTATAATAAGTTGAAATGAAACAGATGTATATTTATTTCACTTCAACTTATTGCACCGCGTACATCAGTTCAGAGAGTGCAGGAATAAAAAAGTTAAAATTAATCCAAATACGGTAAACGCTAAAGTTAGGTTATCTTCTTCTTAACAACTAATTAAGAAAAGGATAACATGAACTTCAGCGTTCACCGTATCCTGGATTCACGTTATTGCAAAAACTCCTTAATAGCGAGTGCAGGTGCAGAGTACAACGAATCGTGAGCCGTGAGGTCGCTGCGCGCTTTTCCTTAATTTGCACTTTGCAGAGAGCTCGTTCCGCTCGTTACATTTTTTCCCTGTTTGTCGTTTCACTCGTTTGACATCAGGAGGAAGTATAGAAAGGGTGTTATGTGACGTTTTATCTGTCACCCACGAACGCGTGTGTTTGCGATTCATAATAAATGGCTGGCTCGCTAGGCACAATTGATTGGGAAGGTAAGACCGTGTCTGAGGACGTAGCGAGACTTGCGAGTACCGTTAGATGTTTAAGAAAAAGGAACAATACCTTGATATTTGTATTCTTTGTTTACGTTGTCAGAGATGGTCAGAGGAGTGTTCCAAAAATGCAGGACCATGTTCTGTACGTCATCCTAAATAATGACGTAATCTCCTCTGTGCCATTTGTGTTTCCACATTGCATTATTTGTGATCCACAAACAATCGTGATGTGACATTAGACTTATTCTTTTTCTATATAAGGATTGAACTTCTTGCATGGTACATTTTTCTTTTTCTTCTTTTCATATTGACTGTGTTCCAAAATTTACTGCCAATACTGAAAATTTGTAATGCATATAACGTAAACTATAGAATTTTCAATACTGGCAGTAAATTTAATTGAAACACAGCCCTTGAAGAAAAAAAGACAAAAGATTATTCCAAAAGTTCAGTCTTGGAATATAAAAAAAGAACTGATCTATAATAGTGTTCTAAAAAGAGCATGCTTCTTGCTCTTGATGATTTTTCTTTTTATGCTTTGTATTTATAAATTGTTGCTTAGGTCTGGTTGCACCAATGTTACATTAATTTCAAGCAAGGTTTAAAATTCTTTTCTATCTCTCCTACTCTCTTGATTTTAAAGAGAAAAAGTTTTAGCTTCGCTTAAAATCAAAGTAAGAAATGCCTTAATCATATGAATCGTTGTTGCAGATCTGAGGAAGCAGGCGAGACATCTGGAAAATGAGATTGATGCAAAGCTAGTGGCATTCAGCAAGCTGGGCATAAATACAGGTACGAGACATGCCACTACAGAGGAGGTTCCTCTCTTGGACGAGGAACAGGTATTTGAAAACATGGCGTCAGAGATTGAGACACTGCTCACCAAGGTAGATCCTTCTTCTTTCTTCTCCTGTATGTTTGCAAGCAAACGGATATACTGATCAAATACAATCGACGTAGTTGTTCTCCATAAACGAGAGGATGAGTGAGTTGCAGCCAAACGGAGCAGCTATGTTACACACGATGCAACGCCACAAAGAAATACTGAAAGACTACAAGCTGGAGTTTAACAAGATTAGAAATAATTTTACAGCTAGGAAAGACCGCGAGGATCTTTTAGGCAGTGTCCGTAAGGAAATAGAGTATGTATGACTGTTCATTATTTATTTTGTATATTGCATATCTCAGATTTTATATCGAAAGAAATTAAATTAATCTTATGTTTATTTTATATAGTAATTACAAAAGTGCGACTGGATTGAATCGGCGTGAAATGTATCTCAAGGAAAATCAACATATTCATAAGTAAGTCACCTTGACCTTGTTAATAATGCTGATAAATAAAATTAAAAGATATGTTTTATTAATTTTTTTGAAAATATGGGGTTTGGATCATGGAAAGGTGTTAAAACTAAACAGCTATCATTTTCGAACATATTTATTTACATACGTTGTTAAATTTTATCCCTTAAAAATTATAGACTTCCTATTTTTAACACAATTTTTGTTGTTTCGTTAACTAAATACATTCAAAAATGACAGCTGATTAGTTTCAATACTTTTCCGTGAGAGACATGTACTTATATTAAAAAATTCTTAAGATATTTATACTTAACATGTATCTTTTAGTTCCGATCGATTGATCAATGATCAAATAAGCATAGCGATGGAAACACGGGATCACCTCATGACTCAAAGACAGGCGTTCAAACGTATACGAACTCGATTCAACGATATCTCGAATCGATTTCCAGCGGTGAACAGTCTACTGCAGAGGATAAATCTACGTAAAAGAAGAGATTCCGTTATACTCGGCCTCGTTATTGGAGTTTGTACGTTTTTAATGCTTCTGTACGCCTTTCATTAGACGATACAAAGATACTTCCATCTCCAAATAACGATTATTTCACTACGGAAATTTTCACAGTAAAGATATACATACATTTAAAAGGTACTATGGAGATCTAATAAATATATAGGAAATTAGTATGATAGAATATGCGAGATGTATGCGTGAATGATTGAGCAAGTGTTCCTTCCACTTGCGTTCAAAATGCACGAAAAGAAGTTTGTATAGTTTTTTTTATACCGAAGTACAAGACGTGGGAATATATATAATGTAAGTGACTTTCATCCACGTTCGACACGTTAACTTAATAAATGTTAAAATATAATAGTCTTTGTTTGTAATAGCGCTAATTGTATGGATTTATTGATTTCCCGAATTCTGGAAACAGAATAAGATGACATCGTTTATGTACGTATTTCTTTTTTGTGGCGGTTAATTTTTTTTCTATAAGAAAAGATTTTGATGGGCAAGGCATTTGCACATTTTGCGGTAAAATCATTATATTTCATAGCTGTATAAACCAATAGTTTTGCATTCTGCGTCATTTAACACACTTGATGATAACAATAAAAAGGAAAGGCTGTATATTGATTTAGCAGTTTTTCGTTATAAAAAAAAAGTTTAGCGTTGATTAATCACTTCGATAAAACGCAGAATGGGGGATCTTTAAAAAGAGCTTTCGGAGCGAAAATGATGAGTATCATCGTCGTTTCGGGTAAGAATTGATTTTACATACACAGACATTTATATGCATATATACACGCAGTGCACTCTTGAGTCATCCGCGAAAACAGCACATTACGGGAAAAAAAAAGTTTTCACTAGAAAGCACGATGCCTGTTTCCACGTGTACTAGATACTACATTTATAAGTCTCTTCTAGAAAATAGGAACTCAAGCGAGATATTGTAAAAAAAAAAATACCAAACACAAAATGCGTTCCGTATATACTAAAGTTTCGCCTCTCTTTTACAGCCTCGATATATATTTACATATATAACTTCATCAGAGCTTCCTACAAATTACCTTATGACTTTTTGTATAAAATCCTGCTCCTGAATTTTTAATTATTATCGCGGATTGTGAAACGCTCTAAATTGAACGCGGTTAATACCTTTGAATCGCATCTACTGCTTCCCGTATTTCGTTAAAGTAACGCAGTAATAATATATCACGCCTTACAAATAATCAATAGCTAAAGGAATTAAATCTACGATAAGTCTCGCTCTAACAATAAATATCGCACTTTCCTTCGTTCTTTTTCCATTCGTTACAAAAAGGGGTTACCGATAGTTGTATAGATATTTTACAATCGGATGTTGTTCTCCCCTCTGTCAATCTCCTTTATAAATGTAATATATAGTCGTTATCTGTGGAAAACCACACGGTTGTTTTCACTACATAACTACCGCAGGACGATTTACGATGGAGATAACTGTGGAAACAGGTGGATGACGAATTTCTTTCTTTCATACACAAACGCATCATTCGTACGTTCTTAAGAGTTAAATCACTAAAACGAGGGATTCTAATCACGGATTGATTCTATTCAACTGTTCGGATACTACTCTACGCTCTAAATCTGCATCTTTGAAGTTTTATTATACCATTAGAGATGATAAATCGCGAGGCCCATATCATCATCACTCGTTCTTCGAATCTCGTTCAGACGTACAAACGGACACAAACAATCTACATCCAATATACATGCAGGCCGCACTGGTTGCTAGTTTATGTATCTGAATATAAATATATCGGCTGTATGTACTATTTTTTTCAATCTAATTCTTTTTTATTTTTTTATGTTTTAAGGCTAATTAGTATAGGTGGAGATCGTCGAGAGACGAGGCGTTGTGTCTTAAATAATTCCGATAAATATCTCGTTGAGGTATATAGGAAGCCACCAGACATCTTTACGATTCTGTTTCAATTTT